TCACCTTAGTTTGTGATACAAAGTTCATGAGCCAGTTCTAGAAGAGTTTATAGGAGAAGATAGGCACCAACCTGAACTTTAGCAGTGCATATGATCCTTAGACTGATGGCTAGACAGAGGTGGTAAACCGAAACTTGGGGAATCTTTTACGTTGCTAGGTAGGTTCAAAACCAAAGTAGTGGGACTTGGCTCTTCCTCAAGCAGAGTTTGCCTACAACAGATCGATGAATAGAACCACTGGACTAAGCCCATTTCAGGTTGTCTTGGGGCAGAACCCATCAGGCGTGATGGACTTAACCCCTATTCCACGAGTGGGGCACATTCATCCAAAAGCTGAGGAGATGACAGAGCACCTAGTCAGCGTACATGACCAGGTGATATGTAAGATTGAGGAGAGCAATAAAAAATATAAGGCACGAGTGGAAAAACATCGACGACAAGTTCTGTTTGATGTCGGTGATTTTGTTAGGGCTGTGTTAACCAAAGATCGCTTCCCTGTTGGCGAATACGAGAAACTCAAGGAGCAAAAGATTGGACCCTACGAGATTGTGCAAATGATCAATGATAATGTTTATCGTTTGCGGCTTCCCAGTCACCTAAAAATGTCTGATGTTTTCCATGTGAAGCACCTCACTCCTTGCTTTGCCGACTCGGAAGAAGATGATGTGAACTCAAGGGCGAGTTCTCTCCAACCTGGGGAGACTGATTCGTCAAAGGACCCAAATGGAGCAACGACATTGGCACTTGTCTTTCATGAAAAGCACGACTAGCGCCGGAAGGGAAGAAGTAGCCTTTTAGGGTGTCACGCTATTGTCGGCATAACTTTTGCTAGGAGTGTCCATTTTCAGCGTGCGAGCACTTTCTGGAAAGTTCTCAACGAGACGCACATGGGCATGATCGGTCAAAGACCCATCGGGATTTGGTTTTGATTGCAAATTCGCTCGTTTAGGCCGTCATTTTGAAGTTTTATTGTTTTTGGGCCTATGGCTACTCTATGTTCAGCCCATTTATTTCTCATTCCTAAGCCCGTTTTGACTTGTGTTTGTTTAGGGTTTTGGCCACCCTTGTTTTCAGCTATTTATAGCTTGGCTTATGGGCTTCTTTCGTTTGGACTTGAATTATTTCATATTATATCATAACCCTAGCGTGGAACTTTCCCCTAGCGATTATTCTCTTTCCCTTTTATTCGTTGTTCTCTTCATTCTGTCCCTACACCTCGATTCAATTCAGCGTTTATATCCGAAGTTTGCTTCCTAGGACTACACTGCGAGGCAACTATGCTAAGCATATGCCTATGCAAGTATCAGGTGCAGACTGCACTCTTTTCCACCAATCATCAATCAAATTCTAATTTTTCTTCCCTTAGTGACCGTCCGGCTGGGTCTGAGTGGAGCCTCGTGGATGGGGCTCATCCTTTCTTGTTATTAATTTATTTATTTATTTATCTATTTGTTTACGACACTCTTATTCTAATTTATTTTTATGTTTATATGGATATTAGGCTTCTGTTAACAAGATCTTAGTCTCCCTATTTTGTTTTTTACCATTCTTACCCAATACAATTTTGTATAGCAGTTTGTTTTTATTTAGATTGCTAAAATTAGGAATGCACCGTTTTTTGAATGTTTAATCACACCCATTTCAACTTTTAACATTTTTCATAAAATGCATGAAGGCAAATTGAATAAATCTTTGAATTTGTTATGTTTCCTTTCGGGTGTGTTTCACCTATGGAAGAATGTGGCTACAGCTCGCATACACCAATTAGTCTTTCCATTTTTATGTATTTTGTTTTTTCTTCTCTTTAGCTTTGATGCTTTGGTATGCCTCTGAGATCCAGAGCTTGGTGCACATGTAGTCAATGATGCATCAAATGTGTATCTCAAAAAAGATACATCGTGCTTTGAGCAAGACTTATATCGGACTTCCCATTTGCAGCTCTTGTCGTTTTCATCTCAAATTTTGCTATGTTTTACTTTTGGGTTTCTCTTTGGGAGTGAAGAACCACACTTTTTTACTGCAAGATAGATATATGGATATGAACAATGTGGCATGGCGTGTAGCTAAGCAAGGATACCCTATTAATTCACCCCTAAAATTAAATGATGGATCTATAGGATGTAAGAAAAACACGACAAGATTACGAAAACAACATCAAATATCTCAAGAAGGAGAACTTTTAGAAAAGAAGAAGACTCATAAAATTCAAGGTTAAAATGTACAGAGATGAGAGTTAAAATTTGAAGAAGATGGTTCAGGAATTTGAGGCTAGTTACAAACATGATATTGAATGTTTGAAAAAGAGGGTTAAGGACATGGAGGCCGGTTGCAAATAGGCGTATGGACATTTGATGAAGAGGAAGAAGATTCTAAAACAAGAATGTTATAAATAACATAGGGGAGGAGAAGATTCATGATGTGGTACGCTAATTGGAAGAAAACTGATAGAATTTGAGGCTATAAATTACTAAAAACTCATTCTGGAATGGGACTGATTTAGTATAAGGTTCTTAAAGTTCATGAAGGCAAAAATGAGTTTAAATGAGCTAGATTTCAAGAAGGTTGTTGAGAGGTTCATTATGTTTTACTTTTTATAATGTAGTTTGGATTAATTTTCATGGCCATGTTTGTTGTCAAACCATGTGTTATGGGGCATTACCGCCGCCGTGGATTGGCCGGTAACTCCCCACCACGGCGTTACCATGGCGATGGATAGGGATTGACTGAGGCTTTTCAGCAATGGCCTTACCGTGGCCACGAGCATTGCCCCGCTAAAGATTCTGTTTCCAATGCTTTCTAACGGGTTTCTAGTTGTTTAAATATTGTTTTTTGAAATCTATCCGTTGGAAAAAGTAGCATAAATTGAGTACAGAGGATTGAAAACCTCACCCCCAAAAAAAACCCATTACTATATGTATTGCCTAGAAAACAAATGAATTTTGATGAAAAAACAACCAGTTCTCGCCTTCTGATGAAGATGATTCAACGTTTTTGTTTCAGCATTTTGCTGAAGCTACGGTTAACACTATCATAGCAATTTCTAATGAGAATTCCTCCCAAGAGTTTACACATCGGAGAAGGATCAATCGGGACCATGATGCTTCCAAACAATGCCTAATTAAAGATTATTTTTCAGAAACCCCAGTTTCAGCGATGATCAATTTAAATGTCGTTTTCGGATGAGTCGTGACTCATTTCAACACCTGATATTGTCAACGACATGGAGGAGCATTTTTCATTTTTCCACAAAACATGGATGATGCGGGAGCTAAAGGATTCACCTCGCTCCAAAAGTGCACAAGCGCTATCCAACAACTTGCATATGGCACCGCTAGCAATTCTTGGGATGAGTATTTGAAGATGTCAGACAAATTTTTTCGTGAAAGTTTTTCTCATTTTTGTAAAGGTAAAAAATTTGAAATCAATTTATAGTTTAATGTATCATACGTCTAAATACTTTCATATATTATATTCATGACTTTAAATTACTTTTTTAGGCATTATCAATCTATACAGTCGTAAATGTTTGCAAAAGTCGTCGTGGAGCGACATTAAGTAGATATATGTGTGTGTGTGTGTGTGTGTGTGAAAATGGTGATAGAGAGAGAAAATATTCCGGCGAAGTTCCCGGCACACTTTCCGGCAACTACGACGTCAAGCTCAGGCAACCCTGCACGTTCTAAACTCTTCTCCAAGCTGTTCAAATCCGTGGGCACTGAAAATAAGCCATCAGATAAATCCAGCTTCAAAGGTTGTCCTTCAATTTCCTTCTCTAAAGAAGAAGTTGAGGCCCTCTCCAACCGTTTCAGGTTTGCTCTGATTGGCAGATTCCGACGTAGACCTCCCATTGCAGTGGTGAAAAACTTCCTCACCCGGTTAGGCTTGATTGGAGGTTTTACTGTTGGCGAGCTCAACTCCAACTCAATTCTCATCAACTTCGAGCAGGATGAAGATTATCAGCGTTTTTTCCTACGCAAATCTTGGACTCTTTGAAAGGAAATCATGGTGGTAACCAAATGGTCTCCCAACCTTCGTCCTAATGAAGATTCTCCAATTGTGCCGGTTTGGGTGATTATCCCAAATCTCCCCATTCACCTCGATGACCAAAAAGCTTTATTATGCATCACCTCCAAATTGGGTAAACCTCTCAAGGTTGACAACGCCACACTCAACTTCTCTCGTCCTAAAGCTGCGAGAGTCTGCATTGAGATTGACGTGTCCAAAAACCTACACCAGAAGATCCACGTCAAGCATATTGATGATGACCTCTTTCTCCAGGTGCTGTACGAGGATCCTCCTTCCTTTTGTGACTCTTGCCATAGGCTTGGTCACAACGCCACCACCTGCAAGGGAGCTTACACCCGGAAATCCCAATGGGAAACCTACCACCGGTAGGAACCATACAACCACGTAAGGACAAGGGAAAGCTTATTGAAAATGAATGGACCACTGTGCAAAGGAAGAATAGACGACAACATAAATCCAATGGTGAATGGGTCCCTAAACCCACTTTCACTCAGGATCCCCCTCCAGGTAAGGACCAGGCAGTTTTGAGCCAAGAAGAAACGTCCAAAGCAGAAACTCTAGCAGCCTTATGCCAAGAGGAATCATCCAAAACTGGAGCTCGGCGCAGGCCCCATGTTCAATTTATTGAGTCACATGAGGTAATTTATTTGGATAATAATGGTCTAGCTTACTCCAGCTCAGAACCCATTCCTATTCATGGTGGGACTACTATCGTTGAAAACCTCATGCATGCAACTGAACAACATGTGGAGCCTATTTTACAACATGCCTCCTCAGACATCTCCCCTGGATTTCAGATTGATATTCCGGTGAAGAGAACCTCCTCTTCAGCACCTTCTTCTCCATTGGGAGCCTCTTCTCATCTAGCTTCAAGAATCAGGACACGTTCAGACTTTAAAATTCTGGGAAAGGGGTTTTCCAGGCCCTTAAATGATTAATTCTCTCTTTTGGAATGTACGGGGAGTCTCCAAGAGGTGCGAGAGGCTTTCCCACTTGAAGAAGCACCATTCTATTGATTTTTTTGTTCTCATTGAACCTCTGGTTATGGCTAATAAATGTAAAACCCTTGCTTTTAAGCTGGGTTTTAATGGGTTCCTTAGTGTTGCTAATAACAAAATTTGGTTCCTTTGGGACACTAAGGTTTTCTGTGATTGATGTCATTGACGCTGGGCAAATTTCTCATTTCTCCCTGAGGGACATCCATAAGAATTTTAATTTTACCATTAGTGGTATTTACGAGGGTCACACCACTAAGGACAGGAAACTTCTTTGGCGTAATATTGAATCTTTCAATGCCAATGTCAATCACCCTTGGTGCCTTGGGGGGGATTTGTTAAGGCTTGTCGAAGGCCTACAAATTAAAACCTTACTTTCTTCTTATTTTATTTTTTTTTTAAATTATTTTGTAGATAGAATAAGCAAGGATCGATCCCACAAAGAGAAATTACTATTTTTCAAACTCAGCTACCGTTAAAGATGAAACAACTCACTCACACAGGGGGTTTGGTTGTTAAATTGACCTACTTGAAGACTAGAAATTTGAAAAAACTAGCTAGAAATATTTTTTTAATTTTTTTTAAAAAAGAAGTAAAATACCAAATAACCAATAAAATAAAGTAGAAAATGAGATCTTTTTATAGGAATATGAAAGTTGTCTTGGTTTAATTCTGAATTTTCAATGATTGTTTTGCAAAATCATTAACTCGAATACGTCTTTAATCACTTGTGGACTAGACTGTAGAAAGTTATCCACCTGCGGGTCTTCCCTACTTTTTCTTTTTTCTTTAGACTAGATTAAGACCTGCCCTAATCTAAATCCCTATCAAAAACAACAACCCCAAGACCTGCCCCGGAATTTAATTGAGTTTGATGCAATAAACACTAAAAAAGCTTCACCTAGAATCTTGTAACAGTTCCACCTGCGGACCTATTCAACAAGACTAATTGAAAATTCTAAATAATCACATTCAAGTAAAACTTGAACTCAATCAAATAGTTGACACTTGATTCATAAAACATGAGCTTTTTCGTACTCAAATAATCTGCCCCAAATATTAAATTAGATCCGTTTTCAATTACCACAAGTAATTAAAAATCAATTTAAGCACAAAACAGTTTCATTTGTTTAACAAATCATTATTAATCCATTATTAAACCAAGACAATTGAATTTACTCAAGCATTATGTAGAATTGTGAAACACCCAGCATAGCAAATGAAGATTGAAACATTGAGATATTTAAAACAGCTCAAGCACTTCCAATGGTTCTAAACGGAATTGCAAAATTGTAGATGCCAACAACAATAAGCAATTAATCCAAGAAAAACTAAATCATAAGGGATAAAGTCTATACTCTCGTAATTAATTTGAAGTGCTTAGACTGGTGTTTGAATTTGACCGGCCTCTGCGTGGCCCAGGAGCCGTCCAGCAGCTACTCCGCTAGGTTCCTTCGTTTATTGTTGTGCGACTTGTGGTGCGCTACTGTCAAGATGCGTCGCCTAGTTGCTGGAATGCAGCGTCCGAGCGCTGGGGTGCTACGCTGTTTCTCTCGGCTAGGGTTTCGGATTTGGAGCTGTATATTCGATTGCAGAGTTCTTCTCCATCTTTTATAGATGCTGAGAGAGATTCTTCCGATCTGGACTCTAATGAAACTTGCGATCCGGATTTCTCGTTGTAGGCGGAGGAGGAATGGCGCAAGTTCCGTCTCTTTTCTTCGCTACAGGATCCCTCTTTTCTCTCGACTATTTTCAAGTGTGCTGTGTGCACTAAGTTTCTTCGTTGGGAATCCTAATAAAAGAAAAATAACATTTAGACTTGATAAAAGAACATCATTTAACAATGGATTTTTTTTTTTGAGGAATTACCTAAATAGCACTAAAACATAATGATTTTCCCTAAATAGCATTATATATGTTTTTCTTCCCAATGTAGCACTTTTAGTCATTATGCATTAGTCATTATTCAAGCAAAATTTCGTCATCACTAGACATTATGGACATTATAAGTGCTATTTAGAGAATAAAACAGTTTAAGTGCTATTTAGGAAAATGACTTAAGTTTTAGTGCTTGATGGTGTAAATTATCGACCGGTATACCGTTTTTAGCCCGGCTAAAACGATAAACTAGTCTAAAAATACACCAAGATATAAACACGGGGATTTTGACGTGGAAACCCAAATCGGGAGAAAACCACGGGCCTTTTTTGGCGGTACCTTGCCAACGGGGGATTTTTATTAATATCGGGGGTGTATACACGGTACATAATTTAGGCGTAGAAGCCGTTAATGGAAGCTTCAAAGCTTCTTGAAGAATGAAAATACAAGAATTCTAGAGAGAGAATGTAATGGGCAGGGAGAAGAATGTAAGAATGGCCTCCTCTTCACATTGGGGGCACCCCTCCTTTTATAGGAGGGAGGAGGAGCATATTCGGAGGAATATTCTCTTATTCCTCCATTTTATTAAACATGCCCGGTTTGGCTGTCCTTCGTAAATAATTGGGAAATGTGGCCGAGCCACGTATTATTTCCCATCAAGAAGTCCTCCACTTTTTTAAGTTGTGAGAATCATCAACTTAAAAAAGTAAATAAGTCCTCCGAGTGCTATCTTCAGTCTTCGTACTTTGGATTCTTGATCGGTTGATATTATTGCTAGTCCTCCGAGTCTTCATTATTTCTCTAATTTCTTGAATTAGAAGTTTTTCCTGCAAAAACTAATATGTACAACAACATTTTTTTTTGACCGGCCTATGCCGTCCTCAAAAAATTATTATCTTTACCGAGGAGCTCGGTGTTAGGGTGGTTAAAATTCGCGTGAATAATTTTCGTAACAAGAGCGATGTCAGTTCGATAAAGCAACGATGCTTCGAGTAGTTATACGATACTAGAGTTAGTACGATGAAGCGGCGGTGCTTCATGTAGTTATTTCGTCGAGACCGATGTTAATACGGATTAAGTAAACGATACATAGCGAAATTAGTATATCAAAGTAATCGATGTTACTTAATACGAATTAAGTATGTTGCAGCAACTTTGTCGAAGATCGATGTTAGCCCGGCTAACTGATGCAAATATCTTCATGTCATGTAGAGACCACTTCCGGAGTGCCTTGTTCAAAGGGCCTGAAGAATCGTGTAACACCCTAATCCATCCAGGTCTGTAGCCCCTTCCGGACTAAAGTATTAACTTGGTAATCGTAAAAATTTAAAACTTTTCAAACACTTTTATTTATCATAATAATATTTTTCATAACACATACAGTACGGAGTATTCAACAATATTGCGGAAGCGAATTTAATTTTGACATATCATAAATCATTTCAAACTTGTCACATCCATCCCGACAATCTCGCCCCATCTGCCGCCAGGATCACATTAATCTTTCTGTTTACCTGCGTGTAGCAAATAAAACACACTACACGCTCAGCGGTAAAGCTGAGTAAGCATATCTAATGCGTCGAACATCCATATAAACTGAATCTAAATTCATAATCAAATCTTTTGATATCATGCACACAATGTTCGTTTCAGACATTCAGAGTTTTGATATTATTCAGTTCATATCAACACATTTTATTCAATTCAGATACTATTACAATAGTGCTCTTAAATTATTCTTAATCTAAGGCCAGATCATAACAACGCTCTTAGCTATTCTTAGTCTAAGGCCAGGTCATAATAATGCTCTTAGCTATTCTTAGT